CAAAAATAAACTCAAAATGGAATAGAGACCTAAATGTAGCACTGGACGCTATAAAACTCTTAGAGGAAAACATAGGAAGAACACTCTTTGACATAAATCACAGCAAGATCTTTTTTGATCTACCTTCCTAGAGCAATGGAAATAAAAACAAAATAAACAAATGGGACCTAATGAAACTTCAAAGTTTTTGCACAACAAAGGAAACCATAAACAAGACCAAAATACAACCCTCAGAATGGGAGAAAATATTTGCAAAAGAATCAACAGGCAAAGGATTAGTCTCCAAAATATATAAACAGCTCATGCAGCTCAATATTATAAAAACAAACAACCTAATCCAAAAATGGCAGAAGACCTAAATAGACATTTCTCCAAAGAAGACATATAGATTGCCAACAAACACATGAAAGAATGCTCAACATCATTAATCATTAGAGAAATGTGAATCAAAACTACAATGAGATATCATCTCCCACCGGTCAGAATGGCCATCATCAAAAAATCTAGAAACAATAAATGCTGGAGAGGGTGTGGAGAAAAGGGAACCCTCTTGCCCTGTTGGTAGGAATGTAAATTGATACAGCCACTATGGAGAACAGTATGAAGGCTCCTTAAAAAACTAAAAATAGAATTACCATATGACCCAGCAATCCCACTACTGGGCATATACCCAGAGGAAACCATAATTCAAAGAGACACATGCCCCCCAATGTTCATTGCAGCACTATTTACAATAGCCAGGTCATGGCAGCAACCTAAATGCCCATTGACAGATGAATGGATAAAGAAGATGTGGTACATATATACAGTGGAATATTACTCAGCCATAAAAAGGAACGAAATTGGGTCATTTGTTGAGACGTGGGTGGAGCTAGAGACTGTCATACAGAGTGAAGTAAGTCAGAAAGAGAAAAACAAATATTATATATTAATGCATATATGTGGAACCTAGAAAAATGGTACAGATGAACCAGTTTGCAGGGCAGAAATTGAGATACAGATGTAGAGAGCAAACGTATGGACACCAAGGGGGGAAAGTGCTGGGGGGTGGGAGTGGTGGTGTGATGAATTGGGCGATTGGTATTGACATGTATACACTGATGTATATAAAATGGATGACTAATAAGAACCTGCTGTATAAAAAAATAAATTAAATAAAATTCAACACAGTAAAAAATAAAAGATTAAAGGGAAGTCATAAGCTATAAGGAAACACTTGCAAATCATGTATTTGATAGATTGTAAAGAACTCAACTTTTCAATTATAACTAAATAAAAATCTCAATTTTAAACTGAGCATAAGTTTTAAAGCCATCTCATCAAAAAAGATATCTGAATGATAAATAAGCAAATAAAAAGATAGTTTCGTTAGTCTTTAGGAAGGTACAAATTAAACCAAATGTCCACTAGAGTATCTGTAATAAAAAGACAGACAGTATCAAGTGTTGGTAAGGACACAGAGAAACAAGAACCCGTGTGCATTGCTGATAGGAATATAAAATGGTACAGCCATCTTCGGGGCTCCCATAGCGCAGCGTTTTAGGGAATAAAAAAATGCACAAATTTTAAAAATAAAAGTTTTAATTATAAACCTAATGTTAGTCAACAGAGTGATGTGATTCAAAAATCCTTACTGTGACCCTCAGATGCACAGAAAACATGCCTTAAGAATAGGCAACAGCCCTGTCCTACACTTGGCTTTTCTTCGTCTAATTTGAGGGTCCTGTCAGTAGCACGAGCAAATCCCCTTAAGAGACACCTGTGAGAGGTCTGTGAAGTCCATTAAATGAAGAGACTGAATGGAGGAATGGAAACATTTAGAGGTAATTGTGGAGCTGTCTCATGGATATTAACTTTTTTCTTTTCCACAAGGTCTGTGACAAAGACCATTGAAGGGAAGTGAAGGGCATATTGGTTTTAGTTCAGGTAGCACTTTTACCTCAGAATAGATGACCAAATATGGAACAGGATGATTTTGATTACCAGTCACTGGAAGTGTTGAAAATGATCAAGGTGACAGGTTATACCTTGGCAAAGCACTGGCAAATTTTAAGCATTAAATGGAAGTGTTGACTTGGGTGACTGATAACATTTCTTTGGGTCAAGAGCCTCCCTGGTAAAGCAGGACTTTGTGCCTAAATGCGAATCAATTGTTATTTAATGAAGCCATCAGAAATGTGACCTAGTAACAAACTGCAACTTGCCTTAAAAAGTTAAACTTAACCTAAAGTAGATTTTATGGTGAGCCAACGATAAAAGCCACATTGTAAATGCCACTATGCAAAACTCGTAGGTGGTTTATAATTTAGCACAAATCAGAGAAGAATTCTTCAATACCTTGGGGAATTAACTCAGCTAAAATAAAAATGGATTTTAGTAAGGGAAAACGCAATCACTTAAGCATAAGAAAGGCTGTTCTAATAAAAAATTAATAATAAGGAAACTAACAAAGTGTATTTTGAAATTTCTTACCATGGAGTTAAATAATACAGAAAAGAGAAATACTGATACTGTACTAGGAACAAAATGAGGAAAGGATGACCCCAAAAGAGATGTCATGTACAGATTCCCCTAGAGGTGCTGTGTCTTGAGCAAGGGAGGAAATATGTAACTAAAATGACACTTATGTCAGGTATAAAGCAAAGTAAATGTTCCCAGAGACAGGGAGGTGGGGAAGAAGGGGAAACGCCTCCCTGTAAAGAGGACCTACTCCTAACACTGGGAGGGGCTCAAGTGTCAAATATCAAAACGTATCAAGTCTTCTATCCGAACCTTTGCCATTTCTCAATATTGGAGGGAAGAAGAAAGAAAGGAAAGAATGAGAGTGAGCCATCTTTGTGTAAAGTGGGGGATGGTTGGGCTCCCTTAGGCTTTACATAGGAGATAGTCCCAGAAAATGAACAGTTAAGGCTTTCATGTTCACAAGGATTTAACCAATGACTGTTGACAAGCTCATGAGCATGACATCAGCTCAGGCCCCCATGCCCTTCAGGGCCCCAGGTGTGCGGCGGTCTCCCGTGTGCATTCATCTCCAAGGCTCCCTCATCCTAGGCCCTCAGCTATGCTTCCCACAGCCTAAGTTAAATTCTGCAAGTATCTGCCCTAAACCCCTGCAGCTCATAGCTCCTTTCTGCGGGCCCTCAACACCTGCTCGTTTTTATCTGTTGAACATACTCACAGCTGGGTCTGCTTGCAGTTATTCACTTACATCCACAACTTATTAACTCTGTTATAGTCACAGGCATAAAGAATTTGGATGCGGTTCCAGAATTTGCTGTTCTCTTTGAGATTTATTTCCAGGCACTTTGTGACCCTGTAACTTTGAAAGGCCCCATATGAAAGAAAGTTTATTATTAGAGCTACAACCAGCAGGGTGTCTTTCGTTACAGGCCTGGCAGCAAGCGGTATGATGAAAGATTTCTCTTTTTAGCTCAGTTAAAATTTAACAAGTGCAAATTCAAGCAAGCAGGGATTTTGTGTTAACAAAATGTCATTCTATGAGTTTGTTTCTTCTGAGATAAAGTCAAGTTTCATAAAAATGTAAAGCATGCCAGATGTCTAATAGTTCTATCGTCCTTTTCTATAGTTTAAAATTTAGCTGTAACTTCCTAAGGATCAGTATAAAAATGGTGGGATAGAATAATGACAATGAATTATTCATAATAAAAATCTGGGGCCTTAATTTTGCAGGTTATTTATAATTTCCTTTCTTCTTATGGAAACATCATCTTTAGAGTTATAGAAGATGTGGGACAACTAAATTGAAAATCATCTGTTGTTGACACAATGACATGTACCTGTACTAAGCACTAAGTGAGGCAACAGTGGAATTCATTATCAGTATTCAGTTCCCATGAGGGTGGCCAGTTTTGCCAAAGGCATTATATGACCATCGCATGTCAATCCTTTGAATGCTATTTTATCAATGCTAAGGAAATGCACCCTTTTCCTCTTACTGTGGAAATGCAGCTTTCTTTTGTTCACACAATAGCAATTATATCTAATAGTGAATCATCCAGATTTTTGCAAAATCAAATCCATCTGCTTTTATCAGAAAGTAAGTTATTGGCATAGATATTTATGATTGAGTCAGGAACCTTAGACTTCAGTCCTGGCAATTAGCAAAATTCCTAACTGTACTAAACTCTTCTATCAAACAGGAGAATGACTTTGCACTCAGACGATTTCATTAAGACGCTGAAGGAGAAAATAACGTGCTCCTTGGTTCAGGCCTCTCAAGGAATCAAGGGGTCCCAAGATCATCACCAATCTCACAGTCCTGCACCCAGAAACACATCTGAAACCGTGCAACTTCTTCAAAACTTGTGCAGTAGGTTAAAAAAAACCTGAAATCCATAGATACCTTCCGAAGTTCTGTGAGTTCCCCATGAGTACTGTTTCATTTTGTGTTTCCATTTTGATGAGGTTAATAAAAACAGATCTTAAAGCGTTTAAAACCACCACACAATGCTGTACTGTTATATAATTAAGTGCCTGACATTTATATGTGTTTGTGATCAAATTCTTTACAAAACTTACTTTAATTTAAATGTACTAATAAGTAAAGAATGAAGGTAGATTTAACATGCAAATCGTGCATTCTTACCAAATTACTTTTTTGTATGCTGTTCAAATAACTGTCTCACATTTCTCAATTCAACACATTTTTTTGGAGTGGTTTGTCATCATCACCCACTCCTCTGTACCCAGAGCTGAAAAAATAATGTTGAATGAGAAAACATACTCTTGGGGAATATACATCCTCTCAAGTCAGACAGAGAGGAAGTAAGTGAATCAATACATAAATAATGCCCTTCTTTCATTGATCAGAAAGCTAAAAGATGGTGCTATCTGGTAAGAAGGGGATGGAACCGTTTGGTTGGAACCATCTGGCCAGAAAGCTGTCTCTGATTTCTGATTGTTGGGAAGGAACCTGCAGTGTGAATGTCATTGGAAAGAGGATGCCAGGCTGGGAGCACCTCCAAGTATGAGGCCCTTACCTCGGAAACACGGAATTCCACATACAAAAAGACCGTATGGCTGGTGTGTCAGTGGCTGGCTTATGGCTGCTGTGGGATGAAGTTGGAGCAGTAGCAAGGGGAGGCATGCTGTGTAAATCTGGGCAAAAAGGTAGAATATTATGTCAAATGTGATGGGAAACATTCGGACAGTTTTATTATTTTTAAGGTTTATTTTTAAATTTTTATTGAGGTACAGTAAGCACATAAAATTGTAAGATATGAAAATATACATTGTGATCACTTGATATGTATCACTTATGAAAGGATTCCTCCCATCTAGCTGTTTAAGACCTCCATCACCTCACATAATTATCTTTTTCCTTTTAGTGAGAACATTTAAGTTTGACTCTCCTAGAAAATTTTAATTCTAGAATACAGTGTTATAAGCATAATACATATAATACACTATTGTGTATGTTTTATTACTGTTTTGGCTTGACATCTTTGGGCTCGTAAAGGTGGTTGGAACAATGCCATAGAACCTGGGTTCAAAACTGTCTCTAGCACTTAATTATGTGATCTGAGTCTGTAACCTTGGTATATATGAATCTTCAATAATTTCATGGAGAGATTTTCTAATTCAACACATATTTGTGAAAGACACCTGGCTACCAGACATTGTGTGTGCTAGGGATTTCCTTACATCATACTAGTAACTCTTTCAGCCAGTTCCATGAGGTAGACATTGTTATTCCCATTTCATTCACCTGGCAAATGGTGGGGCAGGGATTTATTTACACATCGATTATATGAAATCCAGCATCCTCCAAATTATAGAAATAAAATAATGAATTTAACCATACTCAAGCTGGGGAAGAAACTACTAAGTAAGGGATATGAGGCCAAAGAAAAAGGGCTAAAAAATGATGTTTTAAAACTATATGTTGTTGGGACTTCCCTGGTGGTCCAGTGGTTAAGAATATGTACTCCCAATGCAGGGGGCCTGGGTTCAACCCCTGGTCAGGGAACTAGATCCCACACGCACGCCACAACTAAGAGTTCACATGACACAACTAAGGAGCCTGCCTGCCACAACTAAGGAGCCTGCCTGCCACAACTAAGACCCTGTGCAACCAAATAAATAAATAAATAGATAGATAAAAATATGTATATATAAAAAACTATATGTTGTTCATAAAATTGAAGACCCATAGTGTGAAATTAACTAGAAATCATCTTTTGTGATAAAGTGGAGCAGTCATTTTCTTATCACCCTAAACTGCAAAGGTGTTCAACTCCTACAAACTAATCAAAACTATCAAGGAAAAAATGTATGAGTTCATGGTTTTGGTTAATTCTTCTCTTTGCTGTCTTCCCTGATGTCTTTAGATTCTTGCTCTGCTCATTTCTAACTCATACATCTTTAAAAGATGCTTTCATAAGCAAAGAAGATAAAAACCAGTTATGAGACATGTCATTTAGCTTGAATGAGCTTTAGTCTGGACTGATTTAGGATGTCATCGACCTGGAGTTTGAGATGATGCTCACATTCAACTACTAATTTAGAATCCTCATGGCTGGGAAGGTGTCTAGTCTCCCCTGTAAATAAGAATCAATGAAATGAAGTAAAATAAAATGAAATTGGAGTATGGACTATCATTCTGTTGAGAACACAGTTGATTCTACTTCCACATTTAAATTAGTTAATACATCATCTTTCCAAAAGAAACAAAAGCATGTTAACAACTCCGTAAGAAGAGGTCCTGATAAAATCAATCTGCGTTTACAAAACACAGATGAAAGTCAGTGAGGACAACCCTTGACACAACGTGAAAGTGGAATCGAACGATGTTTCCAGGATGATTTCTAAGGTCCCGTTAGCAATCACGCCAAGACCCAAAATCATCTTAAATGGAGTTTAGCTACTGAGACAGTAGCTAAAGAGACATCTCCAATCTTTTGAAAGTTAATCTAAGTCTGCTTCAAGTTTAAAGACAATTTAAAAGGGAAAATCCCTTGTGAGTTCTGAAAACTTCAAACAAATGTTACTGTTGGTCATCAGGCACCTCGTGCATTAAATAAACTAAGTTAGAATGTATGTACTTGGGCCCATGATCACAGCCAACTTCATCTCTCAGTTGGGTCACACGAACAAGGCTACATCAGCTGACTTCAGCCACTAAAAATGTCTTATGCTTAGGCTAAAAAGAGTTAATTCACAGTCAGTGCAAACGATCCTGGATCCTGAAATTTGTTTTGACATTTCCCTATTCTGAGTTGAATGGCTGTGCTGTAATTTTTGTGTTGGGAGGGAGGGAGAGAATGTCCAAGGAAATTATTCATATTTAATGAAACTGTCATGCAAATGAATCTAGCATCATTCAAGACATGCCAAAATACATTTTCTATATTTTGAATAAACCCTCAAAAAATGATAGGAAAATCCACAAAGGTAACAACTGAGCTTTTCTGTAGGGGTTTATTCTTCAGAGTAAAAGCATCTGCCAATTTAGCACTCACCTGCCTCCGTGCCCAGTGTTGCTGAACAGAGAAAGCCTCTGATGATTCCGGCTTGCTGACGTGAAACACAAAATAAGCTGGAGTTTAGGAACCATTTGTATGGCCTCCATGAAAAGTGCTCTCTGGAGGCCCAAGCCCGGCCAGCAGATGTTACCTGCAAATGAGGCTTTTCCCCTCAGACGCCAACACACTGTCGCAGAGTTTGCTGCCCGCTCTAGATCCTGAGTTGTTGACTGGATGATATGACTAGGTTCAAACGCAGAGGTTTGAATTTAGGGGAAAAAATGCTGTGCTTGGACTTAAAACACACAGTGGCCTTTTAGTGATGTAAGTGAAAAGAATTGCTCAATGACTCACACCCACTTAGCTCTGTGTAAATTCTCTTAGGGTGGTTTGATGCCAGGGTTCATGCAATCTGGCCCATGTGGCTGCTCCAGCGTCTGCAAAAGCCTCGGGGCAGCTTTCTGGGACACGTTCTCTGTCCTGGGAGGTTCTGCCCTTTCCATCCTCTCCCTGGGCCTCTTGGACGTGGGTGCCGGAGGGCACAGAGCTTTGCAACCCAGTCAATACAGTCAAAGACATTTTTATTCCAGTGCTAAGCTTGTTCTTTTTTAATTTTGCTCTTGTTTTCCTTTGCTTTCCACACAGTTCCCTTAGATAATCCTGCCCTGTCATCTGTTGTAAGAATCATCATTATTTCATGTACCACTAAGAAAATGAAAAAAAAAAAAAGCCAATTATACACTGACATCTGTTCCTTATTTTATAGATGCTAAAATGTGGGGAAACAAAAGCATATCAGAATTGGGAGAATTCAGTATTTTCCAAACAATTCTGTGTCAATAACCATACTCCACATTCTTTTTGAGATAGTTCTCAAATTTTCTGTCTTTCTTTGATTTCTTGCTGCCAGATTTTCCCTATGAACTTACAGGCTACACCAGAGTGGCCTGGAGCAAGATGTAGGGAGTTTGTTAACAATCTGGTAATGAGGTTTTTGTCTTGACTCCTTGTAGCCTGCAGAGGTTTTATCAGGTCTTTGTCATTCAAGGCCTTTTCTCAGACTCATGCCCTAATATGGGAACTACCCAGCAATTGGTTTTTCCCGCCGTCTAAAGCTACAAATTTTTAGACTTCTCTGTTTGTTTGGGGTTTTTTCTGCTTGAAAATCAGTTATTCTTTCCTGAGACTTCTCCCTCTCTCTGCAATCTCTCTCTCTCATCCCTCTCCCCTTATTCTCTCCAATACCTTGACAAATAAATACTGCTTACAGCAACAAGCACACAACAAAACTCTCCTATTATCAACTGCTTCCACTGCAGCTACAATTTCAGCCAGCAATTTCCAAGCTATTGAAGGTGACAGCTCTACCAGGCATCCTCGCATGCCATGAATTTCAATCGTTTAAATCTCCAAGAAGTTTTCTCACTGCGTGTCATTCAAACATGCAACCAGTGGCTTTATTTCGTTTTTACTTTTGAGTTTGTTATTTTTTTTAACTTCTTAAATCACAGTTTATTTTTTTAAATTAATCTTTATTGGAGTATAGTTGCTTTACAGTGTTGTGTTAGCTTCTACTGCACAGCAATGAATCAGCCATACATATATCCCCTCCCTTCTGTATTTCCCCCTCATTTAGGACACCACAGTGCATTATCACTTTTGAGTTTTTGATGTACATATATACAGGGGGGGAGGGAATTAAGAGAGATATGAAGGTTTCAGCACAGAGTATGGTCTCCAAGTCAGCTTTCCTGGGTCGGAATGTCCATTCTGTCCACTTTTATTAGCTGGAAACCTTGGATAAGTTACTTAAGCAGCATTTCCTCAAGCGTAAAAATGCATTGCCTGGTTGAGTAAATGGTTGCACGTGTCTAAAGCCCTTAAAGCAATGCCTGGGATCGAATGTCAAATAAAGGTACCTGAACAGTGTGGCTGGTCACTGAGAGCTTGTGTGCAGCATGTGTCCCAGCTGTGGATGATGGACTCTTGTCCCCAACAGATTTGTCCCATTGGGTTCTTTAGAGTAAGGCATGGCACTGTTGTGGCACTGTCATCTCCTAGAACAAAATGCTTGTTTGCATTAACAATTATGCAGGAAATGGGCAAATTCTGGAATTATTGCAGAGGACAGAGTTAAAGTAGTATATCAGGCTAAGAAAAACTCTTTTTTTCTTTAAACTGTTCATTAGTGAGACGAACACGCAATATTTGTACCTTTGTTCTGGGAAGAAAATAGTATTTTTACAGAGTCCATTGATTTTGATCTTTGGTACTAAAAATGGAACGTAGCCAACCTCTTCCTACTGAAAATTATGTCCTGGGATCTCCCATTAGGCTCATGTTCTCACATGTGGTGTGTTTTGGTCGCAGTTGGCAGGTCCCAGCTAGTCAAAATTCCTACGTTGAGATGTGGACCAGACCGCAGGGCCATTTCAAATTGCATCCTTTGCGTAAGGATGCCTCTTAGTTCATCCACATGACTGGAGCAGAGGGGGCAGGGGGGAATATATCAAAGTTATTTTTAAGTCCTCAGAGCACAGACACATAAAAGAGCTCATTTTCTAAACAATTTAACTCAGGAAATTCCCAACCTGGATACAGAACTCTGACCGGACCTGCTCCTGGGAACCCAAGTGTCTATATCATAAGACACTCAGAGAAGGACTTTGTAATTTTCTGAAATCTAAATGAAAAACATTGAAACCAGATTTTTGTATTTTAAAATTTAATTTATTCATTTTTACATATTTAGTCACCCTTTTAGTTTTATTGCATAACATATTTTTTAATGGTGAAAGTAATTCAAGCATTTAAAAAATCATAGAATAAAACATATAAAATAAAAAGTCAAAGCACCCCTCCCCAATCAGCACCCCTCCCTGTCATGGAGGGAACCAGTTAGCAGAGTTCCCCAGATAGTTTCTATGCATTTATGGGTCACTTTATTGTGTCGTGTTTTTAAAGAGATGGAATCATACTGTACATAACGTTCTATAAAATATTTCACCTTCAAGTAGTGATAAAAGCCAAAGAGAAATCAGGAGAGAGAGAGAGTCCTTTAGGACTAGGAGTATATTGTAACTGCTAGTCTCCCAGGGAGACCAGCAAACCCATCCAGGGCTGGTGGAGACAAAACCGATGGGCTTGTGACTGGCCTGAAATCACCGGTTCTGCAAGGAAACTCCTGTTGAATTGGTCAATCAATGCTGACAGTAAAATGGTAAACAACTCTTAAGGGGATTGGAGTAGGCATGTGATACCAAGGATGCTAAGCGTGTTATTTCCCTTTGCCTTTTCTTGTCTCTTGCATACATCTCTGCTCCTGCTTGGGTGCCATAAGATTCTAGCATTTTTAAATTAACTGAATTTGCATTGCTCCTCAGCTGGAGGCCAGTTTCCGGATGTGCTTTGCAGTCGCTGACTGCTGAAGACCCTCCGCTAGTGGCCTCTGGGCTCACAGAGCCTCGCCCAGCCCCCCACCCCCAAACTACCATGCCCCCTCTTTCAGGACCTTCTTCCCAAGGATTCCGCACAATCTGATAGCTCTCACCACTCAGTAACCATAACTGAAGAGGCCTCAAAAGCTCCCCCAGGAGAGTGGTGTCACTAGGAGCCCCTGGGTGTGCTGGCTCAGAAGCTATAAATCCACATTCAGGATTTACTGTCTGCCGGCTCCTGGGCTGAGCAGGTCTGCCTCTGTTCCGTTTCCCCAGCTATTAAATGGGGATAGCACTGTGGCCTCCAAGTACAGGGTGTCACGAACCCCAAATGAGAAAAATGCAATAAAATGCTATTTCTTATTATTGGAGGGACAGACTGCAGGTGAGTTATTTGCAGGCTTAAAGTCTCTCCCCCAAGTATGTATCTGCCCAGATCTCCTGGGCCGGCAGCTAGGATTGGGACCGCCTTGCAGTAACTTGGCCTCAACCTCCAACTCCCTTGGTGAAATGTGCCCCTGAATTTTAGCAAGCCTGCCAAAGGCCCCTAGGACCTCTTTTCCCACAAACTATTTCCTCAGTGGCACCATTCCGTGCATTTCATACCATTCACTTACTCTATTTTTGTTCCCATTTTTAGTGCCCACGGAATCATATATGAGCAAATCAAAAGAGAGTGTTCGGCACAGAGGCAGTGGGGGTTTTTTTCCAACAAAAGTGCCGGGAGGAAGGGCACACACTTGGAGACGTTCAGTTTATTCATCATCCTTCCCAGGAACTGGCTCTGCTCTGGACTCCCAGGCTCTGATGACCATGAACATCAGGTGGGCTCACGTGTTCACAGGGGAAAGGATGTACCCCTAACCTGAAAAGTGGAACAGCTCCTATTACTCCTGGCAAGAAAAGGCTTAGTTCACAAACTCACCTGCAATGGAAAATGCCACTGGGGGAACTTAATAACCCCGTGGTCTGTCCAAGGGTGGGGAAGCATGGGCGAATCACAGGGCAATTTTTAAAATTAAGTGTAGTTGATTTACACTGTGTGTTAGTTTCAGGGGTACAGCACAATGATTCAGTTATACATACATATATATTCTTTTTCAAATTCTTTTCCCTTATAGGTTCTTACAAAATATTGAGTATAGTTCCCCATGTTATACAGTAGGTCCTTGTTGATTATCTATTTTATATATAGCAGTGTGTATATGTTAATCCCAATCTCCTAATTTATACCTCCCCTTCCCCTTTGGTAAATGCCATAAGTTTGTTATGTCTGTGGGTCTGTTTCTGTTTTGTCAATAAGTTCATTTGACAAAACATTTGTATTATTGTTTTAGGTTCCATATATAGGTGATATCATAAGATATTTGTTATTGTCTGGCTCATCTCACTGAGCATGATCATCTCCAGGTCCATGACAACCCCTCATCCCATGTTAGCTCCCCCAAGCCCCTCTTCACTGAGTGTCTCCACCCTGCAAGGGGCTTCAGGTAAACAAACAAATGATTCCCCTGGGGAAGCCGAGGAGCAGAGGTTCATTCCCTTGTCCAGGAGGACAGGTCCAGGGCAAGGTCACTTTGTCATGAATTCTGCTTCTCCTGCACAGCCCTTTCCCCAGGTTTCCTTGCTCCTGGGTGCGGTTTCTATGGTAACCAGTATGGCACCACTACCCAATTCTGGTTCCCTCCCCAGGCTGCCTTTCACCATCCCTCCCCACCCCCCAGGGCCAGCCGCAGGATGACACCCCTCCTCTCCTCTCTCACCTG